ACTACCGCGCCAACCGTGTACAGTGCACGCATGAGTGTCTGCCTACTCTGCAACGAGACCTTAAAGGTGCCAGCTGCATCGTAACACAAGTCCTCCCACCAGGCCTCAATTCATTCGACGGTCTGAACTCTTGACTTGACAACACTACTACCATCCATTGCTTGATGAGGAGTGAGGAGGGCGGTGTGAAGGGATTGCTAACGAAAAGGCTTTGAAGCCTGAAGAAGAAAGCATTGATTGGGGCTGAGCAGGCTGAACTGTGAATCATATGACTGAAGAAGGGCATATGGGATGGCTTTGCCTATAGTACAATCAAGTCGCTATCTTCTACGACTGTAGATGTAGGTAGATATCGGGCCTTCTTCGTTCCCCGAATCTGTTAGTCAGTGAATAGTCCCACCAGTATGTAGAAGAGTTCGTCCCAGTAGTAGTCCATAAGCTTTGTTGGTCACCGAACACAGTGAGAACTGCTCAGCTTGCCCAAGCACACACACTAAGTAGATAGTAGGCACAGGTCCGCTATGAGCTCATCGAACTGAACTTGTAGAGTGATACCTGTGCTCGATATGGTTTCACTGCTCTTTCTCTCGGTATGCTTCACCACATGCCTGTGATCTCTTTCTCTTTCAAGCTAGGCGGTATCTATAGGAAGTGATCGAAGCATCGGTGAAATGCCATACTTAACACATGCAATTTGCGGATTGCACCTTTGATATCCGCTAAGAATTTCCCAATCAAATAGATCTCCCCTGGCTGGAAATCTCACCGGTGAAGTTATAGCTCTCTAACAAGAGATGAGGGACGAGGTTGCCCGGGTCAACGGATCGAAGGCAGTATTTAACGTTCCCACCTGCAACTACGAACTAGGCTAGCTGACCTAGCAGTGAAAGACGAGAGAGCTGACCAAGAATATTTGTCCTAGATTCATCCCTAGCGGCTTCAAAGCCATTAAGATCGTTACTTCTGGGAATGAATAGTCTTTATAGCGCTCTTGAAAGCGCAACTCCAAGAAAAGAAGAGGGGCTTCCCCGTTATCAGTCCATGAATGTGCTTTCTTTATTTATTGGTAGTTTGATGCTAGCTGTTATGCTAAGCTAAGCAATGCCGCTTATAGCAGTTGGACAAGGAAAGGCAAGAGCGAGCAGCCACACATGAACCACGATAAACGATGTCATGATAGGCTTTCCATAACCATCTTTCCGTAATCAAATCCTTCTTTCAGTCTCCCAATAAACGAAAAAGGATTGCTGCGAAAGCTGTGCTCGATTTCCTGCGCTAAGAAAGAGGAGTGCCCTATTTACCAAGAGGCTGCAGGCCAACTCGGAAAAAAAGGAGTTGCTATCGAATTCGAATAGGCTTAAGAAAAGGTTGTCACAGAGAAGGAGCAAAGTAAAGGGAGGAAGGAAATGGGCAAATAGGTTCAATCCGTAACTGAAAGCAGGAAAGTCAGAAAGAAAGACATAAAGCAAGGGAATCTGGTAATCCTACTGTTACTAAGACTACTCCTTCTTAGGGCTAGGAGTTAAGGCGCGGCGTAACGGGGCGTAGTAGCTGGTGCTCTAATCTGAGCTAAGAGATAGGAACTGCACTTCGACTTGATTTATTCTACTTCTCCCTCTCTAACCCAAGTCCTAGAAGTGAATGAGGTTTTTTTCCTGGAATAAATTTTTAGATAAGATAGGTTCCTTTTTCGTCTTGCATTTCTCATCGCGGAAAAATAATAATATTTAAAACGTTCCCAAAAGAAATTATATTCCTTGACACTATATATAGTTGGCTGAAACCGGACCGGAAAGGCCTTCAAACAATCCCGTACTCCTGGCTCTAGCCCGCTTCACTGCATGAAACAAACGGTTAGGTTAGACCTCTGTCTGGCATTTATTCCCTAGAGACCTGTACCCCCAACATTTCCTTTTGGTCTTAAGAGATAGACTTGGCTCTCTTATCTTTAAATCTGGACTTGCATGTGTTCTGCATATGACTATTTCGAGTGATTGCTGCTATCTGGCTTGAGTTAGACAAGCAGAGAAGGATCTTATGCCACCGGTGATCGGCCTGTCTATCTAGTATCTAGTACTAGGACTAATAGAGTAGAGGCACTATCGGGCGGGGCTTCCTCGATCACAGCTTCTCGCTTAGCTAACTGCCAGACAAGGATGCAAATCAACTCCTTATATAGAATAAGATCGACACATTCAATGAAGCAGCCAGTCCGGCAGACAAGCTACTTTCTGATTCTAGGACTGGCGGATCCTCTATCTATTAGCATACCCGTACCGGCAGTTAGACTAGCACTCTCTCCCGCAGTAACCGGCTGTAAGAGAGCTGGCTGTCTACCTGATTCAGTCTACTGGCAGTGAGTACCAGACTATGAGATAGCCTGGCCAGTGCATCCAATCTGATACCAGGCATGAAGCTTATTGATTGTATCCCCGTCTGCTTTCCTTAAGATCTACAGAATACGTTATAGATGAGCCTGCCAACCGTTCCACCGGAACGGTTTGGTTTAAAGTCTCGGAGTGTCGACAAAACCGTCATACACCACTTATGAAGGGGATGTAAAACACGCGGGATAACCCAGTTACCTATGGGAAATATCCTACGCTTCCCCCCACCCTCTATAGACTGACCTAGTCGGCCGAGGCTGGGCATAACCTCAGCAAACTCTGGACAAGGATGTCCGACTCTAACAGCTTCCCCAAGGAATGTTCGCCCTTGTTATGTTATTTCCACTGCTTGAAGTGATTGTTACGACCACGAAGAAACGACGAATCCCAACTACGGATATATAAGAGCCAAAACTGCTAAGGGCATTCCATCCAGCGTAAGCATCTGGATAATCTGGAATGCGACGTGGCATACCCGAAAGCCCTAAGAAATGCATGGGAAAGAGGGTCAGATTAACCCCGAAAAAAGTGATCCAAAAATGGATTTAACCTAAAGTTTCAGGGTATGTCCGACCAAAGATTTTACCCACCCAATAGTGAAATCCTGCAAATAAAGCAAAAACGGCTCCCATAGAAAGTACATAATGGAAATGTGCAACCACATAATAAGTATCATGTAGAGCAATGTCTAGCCCTGAATTTGCCGGGACTATTCCAGTGAGTCCTCCTATGGTGAACAAAAAGATGAACCCTACAGCAAATAACATGGGTGTTTTGTATTGTATCGAACCCCCCCACATGGTAGCGATCCAACTAAATATTTTAATTCCAGTGGGGACAGCTATGATCATGGTAGCAGCGGTGAAGTAGGCACGGGTATCAACGTCTAAGCCCACAGTAAACGTATGATGAGCCCAAACAAGAAATCCAAGAACACCTATACTGATCATGGCATAAACCATGCCTAGATACCCGAAGACCGGTTTTCCCGAAAAAGTCGAAATGATATGACTTATGATACCGGATCCAGGCAGAATTGGAATATACACCTCTGGATGACCGAAGAACCGAAAGAGATGCTGGTATAATATGGGGTCTCCCCCTCCTGCGGGATCAGAAAAGGTTGTATTAAAGTTTCGATCGGTTAATAACATTGTAATTGCCCACTGCCAGTACCGGAAGTGATAATAAAAGTGGGAATGTTGTTACTGGAACAGACCACACAAATAGGGGTGATCTATGCATAGTCATTCCAGGTCCACGCATGTTGGAGATAGTTGTTATAAAATTGATAGAACCTAAAATGGATGAAACACCAGATAGATGAAGACTAGAAATTGCTGAATCAACTGCTCCTCCAGAATGGCTGGTAATACCACTTAAAGGCGGATAGACCGTCCACCCAGTGCCGCTACCCACCTCTACTAAGGTTGAGCTTAATAGGAGCAAGAGACTTGGCGGCAACAACCAGAATGAAATATTATTTAATCGTGGAAATGCCATGTCAGGTGCACCTATAAGAATCGGAACAGACCAATTACCAGATCCACCTATCATCGCCGACATAACCATAAAAAAGATCATTAAAAAAGCGTGAGCCGTTATTAAAACATTATAAAGTTGATGATTCCCACCAAGAATTTGATCGTCGGGTCGTGCTAATTCCATACGAATCAATACTGAGAAGCATGTGCCCATCACTCCAGCAATGGCACCGAAGATGAAATATAGAGTCCCTATATCCTTGTGGTTAGTGGAGAACAGCCATCGGACCGGATTTGTCATAAAATGGAGATTCTTTCGTTTCCTTCCTTATCAGAGAGGGGCCCCTTCTTAGGGAGCGGGGCTTCCTTCTTGAAAAAGGGGGAGTGAGAGGGGAAGGGAGAATGAAAAGAGGGGTGGGGAAGGTCTGGAAAGCCCTCACTTTATTGATGGGAAATTTTTATCCCCTTTCCTCTCCCCCCGGTTCTGGTTCAGGAAAAGGTCAATGCAAGGATCTTACTTCGAAGCAATCTCTGGAGTTTTCCCTTATCCGAACGGGTCTTGAAAAAAATAGGTTTCATATTGAGCTCCAAATAAACGCTATTGGGATAGGATGGTTCCTACTAGCTCTCCCCCCTAAGAATCGCACGTGCGAGTTCCCCCGCATACGGCTCAAGTGGCGAAGGTTTGAAGACGCTCCACCCGAACAAGCAACGGTGTTCGAGCCCCTATCAGAGAAAGCCTTGGTAAAGCGTGCTAGCATGCTTGACTTGGAGGTTCGTGCATCCTTTTGCTGGGAGAGAGGAACGAATCCTTCGTGCTTGGTAAGCGCTTCGCTGTAGCCAAGCTTACTGCTAGCCTATCGCCTAGAGCCAAGCTTCGACCGCGACTGCTTGTCACTTCTGGGCGCCTTTTTCCGTCACCCGAGATCCAAGTCAGCACCGGCAAAGATCTCTTGATTCCTCGCGGCCGGCTTGGAAGCAAGCTACCTGTCGCCTATCTCACCCCCTTTCTTATTATTAGTAAGATAGGTTGCCCCTTTCCCCTTTCTCTAAGAAGAAGGTAAGCATCCCTCACTATCGATCGCCTTCAGCAGGGTGAGCCTTCGCTTTTTGGATCGTCTTCTGCCCAATGTCAATGTGGTACCCTCCCGTTTTTGGTTCCCATTGGGTTTACCTTGTTTACAGGTCGACCCCATGGCAGCAAGAAAAAAAAGGCGATCTTGTGCTATACTCCGGTGATCTCTTTCCTACCGAGGCACGCAAACCCCCATCGTGTCCCAGATCACATTCCGTAAATCGAAAGGGGAAGCCTACTCATCCATCAGCTCCTCTCGTAGATCGGTGCGGTTTTACGAAGCGTCTAAGCACAGTTCACTCGCGTTGATCAATCAAGAGCTTTGCCGCCACTCCTTAAGGTTACCTGTTGTATCAGACACTTCTTTAATTCTTTCCCACGCTGCATACCCCCTTATTCTTAAGGTAAGGTAAAGGGTCAGGCATGGTGGGGTAGGAGCATTCTGCCGGCAATCTTTTTGGCTTGACCAAGAAGTCTTATGTCCTCCGAGTCGCACGACGTTTTAACCGAAAAAACTTCTTTCGCAATTCATGTTTTTCTGTTTTTATGACCAGATATTTTTTCTTGATTTCCATTTCAAATTGTTCTCTGGACTTTTTATCAATATGAGGTGATCGTAACACAGTATATAAGACTCGTGATTCAGGAAATCCAATCTTCCGTGTGTAAGGCGGAAGCCCCCCAAAATGGTTTTCAGAAAATGGGTGATCAAAAGATCGAATCACTATGCGTATCTTGGTGGTCATTACTTTAAAATATCTTTTTGGCTGACTCCTCTTCCTGTTCTATTGATCAAAAGAAAGGCACACTTATCTCCGAAATCAGACATTTACCGAGTTATTATCCGTTCTCCGCCTTATTATAGGAGATATTTACCAGATTAGACTCTGTGCTCTGCAAGACTCTGCCACTCTTACTCTTCCACTTGACAGGTACGGATATCTTGGACTCATAGACCGAGATGCTTTCTTTATGCAAGGTAATATAGGAATCATTCTATTTGACCCACTACGGTCGTGACAGGTTCAACACTGTCGTCAACTAGGAAGACATCAGTCAGCTTCCCGCCAATGAAAGCTGGTGACTTCTGTTCCAACTGAACTGGGAACAGTCAGGTGCCACCCATTGGACTGGACGCATGAGCCAATGTTCTACACACAGAAGGACTGCACATACACAAACAATTAAGAATCCTAGCAGCATCTCTAACTCTTGGCCTCTTCTCAGAGTCTGGGCGCACACAAAGAAGCCCCACCATGAGCATCCTCTCCATCTCTAGTGCATCAACCTTGGATCAGCAGCATCAATTCCCCGAGAAACAACATCCACAGAAGCGAAAGATATGATTGTATTGACTCAGAAGATAAAAATTTTATCAGAGAAACCAACCAAAAGAGAGAGAAAGCTTCTTCAAGAATGGGTGATCAGAATCAAGAACCCATTGATGCGCAAAACCCGTGGAAGTTACAAAAAGCATGGATCGAAGAATATAGTTCATTTGCTTTTTTTAATAAATTGTGCCTAAATTTTGCCAGCCTAAAGAGGCTGTGCCGGGCTGTGCACTTTCAGCCCATCACATCAAGGTGACAGGATTCGAACCTATGGCCCTCTGTACCCAAAACAGATGCGCTGACCAGACTGCGCTACACCTCGTCTCACCCCCTCAGCATATAGATCCACCCGATCGATGAACACTCGAACTCGCCCATCCTTTTTTTGGCATAGGGACGCGATAACCTAATCAACCGCTTTTTTTAGAAAATATGCCTCCACTCTAGCAAGACAAGATAGGGCGACACCAAAAAGCCGTATAGTGCAGGAGCGCTCACATTTTATTTTGGCTTCCTCTTTAATTAACTTTAATTTAAGAAAACCCGGCTCGGCTACCTGTCCTTTGGATCCAAAGCCCGCTTAGAAGTGGATTCGAACCACTGACACAAGGATTTTCAGTCCTTTGCTCTAACTAGCTGAGATACCTGAACCACTTTCCTAAAGTATGTTTTCTTCATCGAATATCGCCCTACCTTACTTACCACTTGACTAGTCAGGGAAAAGCCCTTGACTAATAACAAGAAAGAAAGGGTTTTTTTCGTTCGTCAAGCTTTCGAGCAGCTCTTTCAACTGCCGCCTAATCTCCTCTCCCAACATGCTCAAGAACCGAGAGCCGCCCAGGGACTGCCGGAGGGAGCTTACTTATAAAAAGAAGGAAGATAGGCCGGTCAAAACAACGCGCAACGGGCTCTCCGCTCACTAAGTAGTGCTATTCTGTCCTCCGGGGGACTCCACCAACACCAAGAGGTTCTTTCTCTCACGTAATTTCGCCCGTTCCACTTCCGTGCCGGAGGGAATGGGATTCGAACCCATGATACAATCTTCTTGTATGTCGATTTAGCAAACCAATGCCTTAAGCCACTCAGCCATACCTCCAAGTTGTTGATCGGAATTTTATGTGCGGTTGGTTGTCGGCTATCTGATCCGATCAACTGCGTAAGCCGTAGCGCGCTAGCGCGCGTACTCTTCCTCCATCTATGAGCGAGACTCCATAAAAATCTGCCACTCGTTGGGCGACGCCCTCTTTTATATGAACACCCCACCACTGAATGATGAACTTTGCCAGTCTTCGCCTCCGACCCGACCTGGAGAGAACACAGAGTCAAGCCAAGCCCTTACCCGCCTGAATTGAATTAATATCTCCTTCGTCTGGTCGAGAAGGGAGAAAGCCCGGGGAACTGGACTGTGACTCTTCTATTACATTACGGAGAAGTCCATTTTCGTCATGATCGATCCACGTCCTACCGTAGTGCCCGGAGAACTAGGCTTGCTTAGCTTACCTTACAAAGCTAGCTTACTAACACGAAGGCCTTTCCTTCACGGGCTTACTTAGTGCTTGTGCTAAGGAGCAAGAAAACGGATGCGCTAAGGTTGACGCTCGACCCAAACAAGCAACGGCGTTCGAGCCCCTATCAGAGAAAGCCTTGGTAAAGCGCGCTTGCGCGCTTGACTTGGAGGTTCGCGCATCCTCTTGCTGGGAGAGGGGCTAATGCCACTCGACTGGTTGGAGAGGGGTGAAGTTAGAGTCAGGAGTTTAGGCTTTCGCGCAGCTCAATCCCTTGCTTGTTGTTTTCGAGCCGGAGCTCGCCGGGTAGTGAAGTGGTCTGTGAAGGTTAAATCACACTTGTGTTAAGCAAGCCAAGCAGTCAGACTTAACATTGATTGAAGCAGCTATTGGAGAGAAGACACCAGTCAGACCTGCAAGCACCGGGTAGTACGCAACGACAGTTTTCAATCATACAATGTGTACTCGTAGTCTGACTTTTAGCGGTAGTCAGCTGTCCTCGGTCTCCTCTTTTCATTGCCCTATTGAGTAAGGGTCGGTGTTTGCAAAAATGTCGAGCCGACGGGGTCAGGTACCAGTAGTAACAATGGCAAAGGGGGGGAGCTGGACACTGCTGAACCGGAAGAGATTGCTCAGGATGAGTGTCTGGGTATCAAAGCCGAGAAGGGTGTAGTCAAGGTGCGAGTTTAACGAGCGAGGAGAGTGATTTGGCCCATAGAAGCGAGGATCTGGAAGAGAGGGTTGATACTGGGTCAACTATGGCAGTGACTGAGGGGGACTTGTTCTGTGATAAACAAATGACTCCAAACAAGAACCTCAGGGCAGCCAATCCTAAGAAAAGAGGTGAACCTGAAGCAGTAAGAGTAAGCGTTCAGGTGCTGGTGCTATGACCTTTTTTCCACCTTTTTCGAATCGAATGATTCAGCGCTCTCAGAAAGCGAGCGGATCAAAGGCTTCCTATTCAACGGATTCAGATTATTCGACTTTAGATGCTTCAGATGCTTCCTCGGCCGCGCAGTACGTACTTCTATTTGGAGAGTCTGTTCCTTACTTAGCTAGGACTTTGAGTTACTAGAGTAGCCCCTCTGTATCCGAAGGCGCCTTTTTGTTTATGCACCTGAAACGGCTTCTGATTTTACTTACTTATAGTAAAGTGGATCGACCCTGTTCAGTAGAATTACGAAGAAAGAAGGCTAGGCTTCTTGAACCAGAGCTAATTCGATCTTCCCCTTTCGACAATGTGTTTGAATAGCAAGCAAAAGTACCACGACCGAACAATTCTATTCGGTTAACAAACAACTTCTAGAATGAACTACATCCATCAACCGACATACCTTTCTTATCGTAACTACGATCTGTCTTCGGTGTTGATATGATCTTTCTATCAAGAGAAGATCGGGAATTGCCGCTAGGCTTTTCTTTTAGCTCTCACTCATCCCGGGCGATTCTTATTATTCTTGGCCACTAAGGTGTCTTTTGACCAAGAGAACGAGCTAGACAGAAAAGGTACCACCGAAAGAAGGTCGACCTCACCCCCTTTGGTAAACCGAAGCAGAAAAAGAGGAAGAAGCAAAGCTAGGCCATTTGATTAGGGATGTTCTCACCTGTGCGTACTATCTTCAAGAAGGAATATACAAAATAACCTTCTTCTTTTTCGCATCTCCCAAGTTCGAATGCTTTTATGCTGTTAAAAGAAATCGAATACCATTCGTGACCCAATTCAAAAACGGAGTTACTGAAGACCTCCTCCCCCTTTCCCGCCTATCCCTCCCGCAAGAGAGGACTCGTTCTGGCTTTAAAGAGCCTCTTTTTTAGCAGTCTCGCCCATAAGATAAGAGAAGATTGACCATCTCTTCTTCCAAGCTTCTTTCTGCTTCTTCTCGGTGTAACGAAAGAACTAGATGAGGAAAGGCCTCCAGTTTCAAATCTCTACCCTACGCCATACGAGGGCGCCCTAGCCAGATTAACTCCCAAGGGTCAATCAAGCCTTTGAAACTAGTTCAAATAGTTGTCACCGTGTTCGTTCCTGCTTTCAACGATACTTTCTTAGCTGCATCAGCTTGTAAAACTCTCTCTCCTTCACCAGGAAAGGGAGAGCGGACAAAGTACGATTTGGGTTGGGTAAGAAGAGTGTACGATAAGAGTAAGCAGACGATGTCGATAGAAGACGATTCGTGGGATCTGATCTTCCTCAAAGTCAAAGAAAGATAAAAATGAGCTAAAGAAGGTATGCCCAGCCCATGAAATTAGATGTCGAATGAGTACGATTTTGAGCATAAAGAGAGAAGAAAAAGGAACTGCAAGAATCTAGGTTTAGCAAGATAGCTGCCAGAAAGACTGAGCTTAGGTGCATAACGCTTAAATAAGTGGTTGAAGAGTCTCTTTCCATCCCGACAATGACTACTGACTTTCCATTTTTGGGATTTAACTTAAAAGACTGGACTTCAAGCAACAATGAGAGCAAAGGCAAGGA